ATATTAGGAAAACACAGCAGGAAAGTTTTGTTGTTATCCAGTTGATCCGTCATGCCTGACTCTTTGTGACCCCATGGACTGCAGCATGCCAGGTTGCCCTGTCCTTCACCATCTCCTGGAACTTGCTCAGGATGCCCATCTTTGGATGACATGTTCACTTGGTATCTCTAATTTTCTTGAAGAGATCTCTAGTTTTTCCCATTCTATCATTTTCCTCCATTTCTTTGCATCTTTCACTTAGGAAGCCTTTCTTATCTCTCCTTGCTATTCTTTGGAACTCTGTATTCAGTTGGGTATATCTTTCCTTTTCTCCTTTGCCTTTGGCTTCTCTTCTTTTCTCAGCTATTTGTAAGGCCTCCTCAGACAGCCATTTAGTCTTATTGTATTTCTTTTCTTGGGAATGGTTTTGATCACCACCTCCTGTACAATGTCACAATCCTACATCCATAGTTCTTCAGGCACTCTTAATCCCTTGAACATATTTTCCTTTCTACTGTGTAACTGTAAGGGGTTTCATTTAGACTCAAACTGAAGACAGGTTAGGGAAAACCAATAGGCCATTAAGGTATGACCTAAATCAAATCCCTTATGATTATACAGCAGGGAAAGTGGGGATGTCCAATTTGACCTCAACTTTCCCTTGTACCCCTGCCTCTCAACCTCTAGATTCATACTGGGATCCTTCTAATAACTCATGCCCTCTAATAATCATGCCCACATCAATTGTTCATTCCCTTGTTAGGGGCTTAATGATAAACAACTATTATTACCTTTTTAAAATGATCTCTGACTCTATGGCTGGGACTAGACTACGTATGTATTTTACCTACTTGACCTCACTGGGTCCTCCCTCACAACAACTCTAGAAGGCCGATTCTATTACCACCTCTCATTTTTTACACATAGAAAAGCCAAAGTTTACAGAGGTGCAGCCACATTTGAAGTCACATAGTGCAATACCAAAGTCAGACTCCAGGGTCCATGCTCGTGACTGCTGTACTCCTTTGATTTTTCACATGACTATTATGAGCTAGGAACATGCCAGGCACCACAAGCTTTCATGGTGAGGAAGAAAATGTGATTGATTCCTGACTCTAAGGAACTTTTATCCTGACTCTTGGGGCTTCCCAGGTGGCTTCAAGTTAAAGAATTCACCTGCTAATGCAGGAGACACAAAAAACCTGTGTTCAATTGCTGGACTGGGAAGATCCCCTGGAAGAGGAAATGACAATCTGCTCCAGTATTCTTGCTTGGAAAGTCCCACGGACAGAGGAGCCTGGCAGGCTACAGTCCATGGAGTCACAAAGAGTCAGACACAAGTGAGTGACTGATCATGTGGGCATATCCTGACTCTCAACAGCCTTCAGGCTCTTGCCTACACTTGTACCAGCAGTGATCCCCCTGTAAAACCTTTTACCCTTGCTCAGCCTAGCTGGTTTCTCCTTACCCTGAAGACTCAGGTCAGGCATCACTTTTTCCAGTCCTTCTTGAATGCCTAGGAAGTGCCTAGGAGGTGTCTCACATAAACTCCTGAGCAGAGGCCGTATTTCCTGGTGGTTAAAATCCTAGATCGAGATGTAGACTGTCTTAGCTCAAATTCTGGCTCCATCACTTCCAAACGATGTAATTTTGGGTAGTTTACTTCACCCCGTGGGTCTCAGTTTCCATATGTGTAAAATGGGGTTGTTACAAGGGTGAGATCAGGTGACACATGTTAAACAATTTGTCACTTGCATGTTAAGTGCTCAGTTAACTTGTTAACTCACATTAACTATCATTATAAAGACTGATCAATACCCTATAGCATTCTTATGTCTTTCATTTGCACAGGGTCTACTATAGAAGATAGAGATGCTGACTTATAATCCACCTTCAATTTCAAAAGTTTGGTGTTTTAACTGGAAGGTCAACATCTCCAAACTGAGAACGTGGGTATCCTGAGCTAAACATAGAGAAGTTCCATGACTTGACCAAAACCTTCATTTTTTATATTGTTGCACATCTTCATCAACACACCTAGCTTCATACCCTTCCCACAGAAAGACTGGGCTGATTTATAATTTTAATTCACATCAGTCTTTGCTCTTCTTCAGTGAGGAATAATTAGGTGGTGGTTGGTACAGAGAATGGTACCACACTCAGCCAGGAGGGGATTGCTTCCTCTAGCATTTCAATTCCCTTGCTGAGACAGCTTTCCTTCCTTTCCTTTGTTGCTCAGAAGTTGAACCTGATGGGTCTCTGTGGGAAGCATAGTCATCTCTTCCTTTGCACCTCTTCTACCAGGCTCAGGCATGTTTATAGTCCCTAGGTGAGGATGAGACATGTCTAGGTAACCAATTAGCCAAAACAGAACATTGAGAGACTGTGGAACACATACAAATTTCAGTGGATGAAAGGTCAGAGTCCAATAAATTGAGTCTGAGCAAGGTGTTTTCTCCCAGGGCTTGGAGTGCTGCAGAGCTTAATCTTGGATCTCCTAGGGTCTATAAAAGAAGCAGCAGGTGTCTAGAATATCAGTCTTCATTTGACTCCAAATGTGTATGTCTTCTTGGCTCCAGGAAAATAATCTGTTTTGTCTACTGGACACTTTGGTTCACTCATTTCTTCCCTGTTGCGCTTACAAGCCCCAAAAGTCTGTCTGTAAGCTACACAGTTACGAACTTTCAATTAGAGTTGGATATGTAGAAGAAGGAGAAAAGAAACTTGATTAGTGTTATCTGAAATTTTAAAATAAATGAAATAAAGCACGTGGCAACTTTAAAATGCAGCAGCATGTTTTTTTGACGTCTTTCCCACTCCTTAAATCTGCGACGGTCTTTGACAGATTGAACCTATAAAAAGTGATGCTAGATGATTTCTGAGGCTAGGTCATAAAATACAATGAAGTTTTCCACCTTGCTCTTGGAATATTTGCCTTGGAGTCTTAAGCCACCATGTAAGAATTTTGACTGTTCTTAAGCTGCTGTATTGTGAAGAAGCCTAAGTCCCATGGAGCAGCCTCCTGATGCCCCAGTCAACAGTTTAAGCTGAAATTAGCTTCTGCATCTCCCAGCTCAGGTGTCAAATGTATTGTGAGTGAGAAAACTTTTAGATGGCCCCAGCCCCCAGTGGTTTAAGTCATATCTAGATATCTGAGTCACTCCAGCCACACATGTCTTCCAAACAGAGGCTTGGGGTAGAGACAAGGCAGCCCTATTGTTCCATGCCCCAAATCCTAACCTAACAGGATCCATGAACATGATAAAATGATTGTTGCTTTCTGTCATTGCATTTTGGGATGGTTTTTTATATAGTAATAGATAACTGGAACAGTGGTTTTCATGGAGCTATGCTTCAAGTGCCAAGTAAAACAAGCAGGTAACTGAAAGTCCAGTGGCAAGAAACAGCAAGAATCATGGAATTAGTAGAATCTAAGCATTATAAGTATCCTTAGGGTCATCTAGTAATTTACAGCCTTGCAGTTGCCGTTAGTCTGAATTTTGTAACATCTTCAAGCAGAGACAATTTGCTTTTTTTACCTACTTCCAATGATGAGGAACTCATATCTCCATGAAGCATCATCTCTTACAGTACACTGGATGCGCTAAATAAAGATGGTGCTACTGCTAGATAGAGATTGTTGGTGACAGAAAAGACACAGCTGCCTAAGAGAAAGTGACTTTGAGAAAAGGCTCCATGTATACAACTTAGCGCTCATGAAAAAAATGACAGACACTAAGACACCTGCTGTTTGGACTGTTCAGGTAAAATTTGTCACTTATTCTGCTGACTTTTTAAAAACGGGCTTTGGTGATGTGTAGAGAGGTTCTTTTTCATCATCTTATGATGTCATATTTGATTCCAGTGGTGAAGGGTCAGAAGAATTCAAAACTAGTCAGGGTAACCTTCTTAGAAATGTAGAGACTGATGTATAGGCTCAAAGAATGTTTAAGGCAGGAAAAGAAGTCATATTTCATCACAAGTTGAATATTAATAAACAGTACAATGCAAGTACAGAAAATGTTACTTCATTTTGCAGTAGATAGTAGGGTAGAGAGGTCACAAGTGTTTAATTGTTCAGAAAATATGTCAAATTCCATTTGAGGAAAGTGAAAATCACTTAGTCGTTTCTGACTCTTTGCAACCCCATGGACTATAGTCCACAGAATTCTCCAGGCCAGAATACTGGAGTGGGTAGTCTTTCCCTTCTCCAGGTGATCTTCCCAACCCAGGGATCAAACCCAGGTCTCCCACCTTGCAGGCGGATTCTTTACTAGCTGAGCCACAAGGGAAGCCCTCCATTTGAGGAATTACCCTCAATTCTGGGAATTCTATTTAAGAGGGATAGTGAGAGCCTAGACATTTTTCAAATGTCAACAAAATGTTTTTGTTTACAAGGTGGAGAGAAATCTAGATAGAAATTGTGTCATGTAGAATAGTTTGGCTAAATAATATTCCAATGTGCATGTGTGTATCGCAACTTCTTTATCCATCCATCCATTATAGACACAGGTTGCTTTCAACCTTATTATAAATAAGGTTGCTGTGAAGAGGGAGGTTCAGGTATCTTTTCAAGCTAGTGTTTTTGTTTCCTTTGGATATTTCCCTGAAGGGGAATGGCTAGATTGTATGTTAGTTCCAGTGGCGCCAAGTGGTAAAGAATCTGCCTACCAATGCAGGAGACTCAGGAGATGCAGATTTGATCCCTGGGTAGGAAAAATTCCCTGGAGTAGGAAATGGAACCCTATTCCAGTATTCTTCCCTGGAAAATTCCATGGGCAGAGGAGTTTGGCAGGCTGCAGTCCATGGGCTGCAAAGTGTTGGACATGACTAAGTGACTGAGCATACACACATATTAGTTCTGTTTTTAATTTTTTTAAGGATTCTCATACTGTTTTCCATAGTGGCTATTCCAGTTTATAATCCCACTAGCAGTATACAATCCACATCCATGCCAGCATTTGTTCTCTCTTGTCGCTTTTTTTTTTTTAACAAATCCACACTTTTTTTTTTCAATAAGTTTAAATCCTCAAAGGGTAGAGTATCACATGGATTCTGGGTCCAATGGCCTTGGAATTTGGCACAAACCATGCCATTGTTTCCATGAGTTCGAGTTATCTTTCCCCAGATTACTCTGGTTTTGTTAGGTTTTCCACCAGGAGTTACTGTGTTGGTCTTTGCTTTGTACACAGAAACACATCTCTTGCCTAGATAGAATTCAGTTTCATCTCGAACATATACACCTTCAATTTTTAGAAGAGAATTGTGTTCCCTCTGGTTCCGTAGACCCTGCTTATAGCCAGCAAAAATGGCCTTAGAGCACAGCCTTCCAGACATATTTGTCATTTGAGAAGCTCCCAGCAAGCCTTCACAGGGTCCAAGATGGCTGAAAGAGCTTCTTGTCATTTTGATAATGGCAATTCTATTGCCAGTTCTATGAGATGTTATCTCATTGTGGTTTTGATTTACATCTCTCTAATGACTAGTCATATTGAGCATATTTTCATGTATCTGTCTGCTTTTTGTATATCTTCTTTGGAAAAAATGTCTATTCAGGTCCTTTGTCCATTTTTTTAATTGACTTATTTGATTTTTTATATATTTTGGATATAAGCCTATTATCAGATATATGGTTTGCAAATATTTTTTAACCATTCTATAGATTATGTTTTCACTTTATTGATGATTTCTTTCTCTGTACAGGAGATTCATAGTTTGAGGTAGTTCAACTTGTTTACTTTTTTTCACTTGTGCTTTAGGTGTCATATCCACAAAATTGTCACCAAGATCCGACTCAAGGGGTTTTATTTGCAAGGAGCTTTATTCTTATGTTTTCTTCTAGGATTTTCCTGGTTTTAGTTCTAACATTTAAGTCTTTAATTCGTTTTGAATTAAATAATATTTCCGAGTAGTGTAATTTAGGGGTCCAGTTTCATTATTTTACATGCAAGTATCCAATTATCACAGCACAATTTATTGAAGAGACTGTCTTTTCTTCATTAAATGAATACATTTAATGATATTAAAGACATTTTCTTCTTGGCTCCCTTGTCAAATACTAGTTGATTGTATGTGCTTAGGTTTATTTCTGGACCCTCAGTTCTATTCCATTGGTTTATTTGTTTGTTTTTATGCCAGTTTATTTTTATGTTTTGATGTCAATAACTTTGCAGGAGAGCTTAAAATCAGAAAGTGTGATACCTCCTGATTTGTTTTCTCTCTCAGGATTTCTTCGGCTATTCAGAATCTTTAGTTGTTCTATATATATATACCTTTTAGCACTGTTTTCCCCCTACTTCTATTAAAATATGCCATTAGAATATTGAAAGGGGTTGCATTGACTCTATAGATGGCTTTTGATAGTATTGACATTTTAACCATATTAATTCTTCCATGTTACAAAGCTGGGATACGTTTCCATTTATTTGTGTTTTTTTTTATTTCTTTCACAAATGTCCCATAAATTTCAGAGTGGAGATCTTTCACCTCTTGGGTTAAAGTTATTCCTATGCATTATATTGTTTTTGATGCTATTGTAAATGAGATTGATTTCTTGATTTCTTTCTCAGAAAACTTATTGTCATTATATAGAAATGCTACTGATTTTTGTGTATTGGTTTTTGTATCCTACAACTTTACTGAAATTGTTGATTAGATTGAATGTTTTTTTTTGGTTGAGTCTTTACATTTTTCTGTATATAAAATCATGTCATCTGCAAACAGAGAAAATTTTACTTTTGTCTTCTAAATTCTGATACCTTTTCTTTCTTTCTTTTGCCTGACTGCTATCTAGGACTTTTAGTACTATTTGAATAGGAGTGTTGAGAGTGGGCACCATTCTTTGGGTCTTGATCTTAGAGGAAGACCTTTCAACCACTGAGTATGATGTAAGTCGAGAGCTTGTTTTATATCACCTTTATTGTGTAGCAGTATGTTCCTTCTATGCCTAATTTGTTAAAAGTTTCTGTCATGAATGGGTATTGAATTTGTCAATTGCTTTTTCTGTATCTATTGAGAATATCATATGGTTCTTTTTTATCACTCTATTAACACATCATTGACTAGGGGATTTTTGCAGAAACTAATGCCTGTGGCCAGTGATTTGTTTTTTAAGTGAATATTGATATGTCTCTTGTCAATAATATTTGGGTAACAGAAGATGTATTAATATATCTCTGGTCAATAAGTTGTTAATGTGACTTATCACTTTGATTGATTTGTATTTGTTGAAACATTCTTGTATCCCAGTGATAAATTGCACTTGACTGTGGTGAATGATCCTTTTAATGTGATGCTGAATTTGGTTGGCTAATGTTTTATTGAGATTTGGCGTCTTTATTCATCAGGGATATTGGCCTATAGTTTCATTTTCTAGTAGTGCTTTGCTTCCCGCACCCCCCCCCCCAGTTTGATATCAGGATAATGCTAGCATCATAAAATAAGTTTGAGTGGTCCCTCTTCTTTGGTTTTTTTGGAAGGGTTTGAGTAGAATTGACGGTAATTCTTTGTAAAAGTTTGGTAAAATTCACCATGAAGCCAGGAAAGTGATTTTTTAATAATGAAATATGTATGTCAATATGTACATTCATAGGCATAATTACACTGGAGGACATAAGGAAGTAAATGCGTGCATCTATAAGGGTAGTCATCAGGAATATGTGAATGACAAATGCAGATTGATACATATTTATGCTTTGACTAGAGATTCAAAACCCAAGAAGTATTGCTACTGATGGCATTATGTCCTGAAATGTTGTTGGTAATGTTCAGTATAAAAAAGTACACACTTTGTTTAATTTACAAGTTATTTGTGTTTCTGGAAATTTAGAAGTTATTAAAAATTTATTTAAAAATATTATGATACAAAAATGGATCTAGGTTCTAGGTTCAGAAAATTGTAAGCAGCAGTTTATCTAAATGAATGTTCACTGGGACATTAGAAAGGATGACTAACAGCTTTTTGGTGTGTGGACCATCTTGTGTGATACAGAAAGCCCAACTTCGACCTTCTCAATATCAGGAGGTAATTTATGTTATTGTCACTAACAAAAAGCATGCCAGCAGAGTTCCAGAAATGCCCACAAGGTTAGCTAGCCCCATGGTGCGCTCAGAGAAGCCTTGCCCAGTGATATTTGGGTCCTATCTTCTTTAGTTGTGTCTCCTTCCAGTCCTCCTTTCCTCACATGCTCCAAATCCATTGCCTTCTTTCTCTCTTTTAAACTAAGGAGTAGTTGAATTTACATTTTCTACATCTTGGACAGTTGTGCTACCAAATTTGCCTATCTTGGTTCTTCTTGTTATTCAGGTGTTGGCATGAATGTTCCTTTCTCAGAGAAGCAAATGCAGAGCATACTGGCTCCAGTATTATCTCCATCTGCATCACTATTCTTTTAGCCTCTTACACCTTCTTTGTAGTTTATTTGATAGCACTTAATAATGACTGAAAACAAAAATGTTTTATTAATTTATGTGCTCATTGTCTATCCCTTTTTCCATTAAAATATAAGATCTAGGAGGGCAAGAACTCTTGTCTGCTACCAGCTCTATTTTCAGTGCCTAGGAAAATGTCTGGTATGTAGTAGGTGCCTAATAATTGTATTTCTTGAGTAAGCTATTAATTCGCTCCTTGCTCTCCTCTAGAAAAACTCCAAGCTCTTTAGCATAACACTTGAGGCTTCTCAACATCTTGCCCAGCTTATATTTCCCTATCCTTTCCTCCTTTCATTCACTAATCATCTTTTTTACTAAAGTTTCTCAAATATGTCATGCCATTTACTGTTTCATTCCTTTGCATATTGTGTTTTCTCTGTATTCAGCTAAGATCAGGCTCCCTCAGTTTCCTCTTCCCTCCCATTCTTTGGAGGTTTACATACCCTTCCTTTGGTAATGACCCCACAACTATGCTTATACAAGGAGAGAATATTTGTTGGTATATGCATCTTTCTTTCCAACTATATTTTGAGCTTATTGAGAGCAGAGACCACTTCTTAATCGTCTTTGTATGCGTAGTGGTCAGATGGTATCTGGCCTAGAGTAAGTCACAGCGTTCTATTTCATTACATCAGAGTTGGATTATCATATTAGCTACCTGAGAACACTTGGAATCTCAACTCCATCATTGATTTTCCCCAGTATCATATCAACTATAAATCTGTTAAATATGCACAAACAGTAGAGACTTCACAGGGGCACATAAAAGTAAGTTAATCCCTTGAAACTGCAATGACAGAATGGTTTAAAGATCATTTTGTTGTTATTGATAATGACATTTCTTGAGTATGACATGATGGTCACATTTCTAAACTCTATGAACATTTTCTTATTGAGGCCTTTAGCAACTCAGTGGTAAGAATCACTTAGTTACCTAGAGTAAACTTGACAATGTCATTGCTGATAAGTAGAACAACATAATTAGCCTTAATGTATGTGACCCCATAGCCTAAGATCTTAATCACTATGTTAGGTCCTTTCTATGCCATTTCTGTAATTCTTAGACTCAACCATCCTTGAATATGACTAGAACAGAGTTAATGGGGATATTTTAAAGTTAATCCTATTTTCTCAGGATAAAGAAGATTTCAGTCCCTCGTCTCCACAAACAAGACCATTTGCTAATTACTGCTTTTTATCCTCCTTTCTCTCTGTCAGGGAAGCTAAGTTTATTATGGGTCATTGTGGATGCAACCAAGTTAATGATAATTGATGTTCATCTCTTGCTTCTCACGTTAGTGGCTCTGTATCAGCACCCACTCCCCTTGCAGTGGGCATGCCCCTCTCCATCTCTTTTCCCACATTAGCCAAGGTTTTGAATTACTCAGTGAACTTTTAATCACTGAATAGCTAATTACCATAATTCCTCACTGTCCAAAGCTGCAAGTTCATCATGCACATGGACCTGGTATCCTTGTTAATCACAGTAATCGCTCATCACTCATGAGCTGTGAAAAGTATTGACGACTCTTCACATCACTCAGGGTGCTCACACTCTGAGGGAGGCTGGTAGGAGTGTTAGGATGTGCCCAACACAGGCCGTGGGGATAGCATCAGAATGTCCACCAGACCTATACACTTTGGATCTCTGCTTCTATTTACCATTATCCTGAGTTGTAAACTGATTAGAACTGCTACTCTGTGACTCTGTTGGTTCACAACTTCCCTGGGAGCTTCCTGGGTATAATCTGAAACTAACCCCCATATGTGGAAGGCAGGAAGAAAATAAAGAGAGAAGAAGACCAATCCAAATTGTAGGTGGCACGGTTAATGAACAAGAGAATGTATTTATGAGGCTTGTCATGGGTTGTTGCAAGATGAGCAGTCTTTTGCACCTGCCTGTCAAA